TCCCTGGTGGGGACTCCCTGTGGGGGCTCCAACCCCACTTTCCTGCTCAGCATTGCTCTAGTAGATGGCCTATGCAGTGGCTCCATCCCTGCAGCAGGTCTCTGCCTGGGCCCTCAGGCTTTTCCATACATCCTCTGGAATCTGGGGGGAGGCTGCCATGCCTCCACTGCTCTCGTGTCCTGTCAGCCTGCAGACTTAACACAATGTGGACGCCACCGAGGTTTTGGGCCTCTGCTCTCCAGCGCCGCTGCACAAACCACACTTGGGGCCGCTCCAGCTGGAGCAGCTGGGATGCAGGGAACAGGATCCTGAGGGCAGCTGTGCCACAGTTCTGTCCTGCAGGATAACTCAGTCCTTCAAGGCCTCAGGGTCTGTGATGGGTAGGGCACCCTTCCAGACTTCTCAAATGCCTGCACGGCTTTCCTCTCACTGTCTCCGCTATTAGCATCTAGCTGCCTCACTGCCAAGATTATGTCTTTAGCAACCAGTTTATCTGCTTCACCTTGCATTGTTCTCCAGCTCTCCGCTTCTCTCACTTCTTTACCGCATGGCCAGGCTGCAAATTTTCCAAATCTTTACGCTCTGCTTCCCTTTTAAATTCTGGCTTTACATCATGATTTTGCAGCCATAACTCAGACTAGGCTCTTAAAAGCAACCAAGCAGCTTCCTTAATGCTTTGCTGCTTAGAAATTTCTTTGGCCAAATGCTCTGGTTCACAACTCTTAAGTTCCAACTTCCACAAAGTCAAAGGGCATGGACACAATGCAGCCAGGTTTCTTGCTACGGCATAGCAAGGGTGATCTTTTGTCCAATTCCCAATAAGTTCCTCATTTCTATCTGAGACCTCATCATCTGCCATGGCCTTTACTGTCCACATTTCTATCAGCATTCTGCTTGCCACCACATAAGTCTCTAAGGCATTCCAAACTTTCCCTTGTCTTTCTGTCGTCTTCTAAGTCCTCCAAACTCCTCCAAACTTTGCCCGTTACCCAGCTCCAAAGATGCATCCACATTTTTAGGTATCTGTATAATAACACCCCACTCCTCAAACTTAAAGAAACAAAGATATCTTCAGAAGGTATATGTTTTAGTCCGTTTTGTGTTGCTATAACAGAATTACTTGAGACTGGATAATTTATAAAGGAAAGAGGTTTATTTGGCTTACGATTCTGGGACAGCTGCATCTGGCATGGGCCTCAGGCCGTTTCTACTCATGGCGGAAAGTGGCAGGCAGCCAGCAGGTACAAGCAGATCACATGGCAAGAGGAAGCAAGAGAGAGAGAGGGGAGGTGCCAGGGTCTTTTTAAGCAAAGAGCTCTCGCGGGAACTAACAGAGCAAGAACTCACTCATTAATCCCCCCTCCCCCAGGGAAAGCATTAATCCATTCATAAGGGATCTGCCCCCATGACTCAATATGTTTCCAACACTGCCACATTGGAGATAAAATTTCCACATGAGTTCTGGAGGGGACAACACATCCAAACTCCATCAGTATACATTGGTCTTATAGAATTTTTTGTAATGAGAAAAACCTAAACACCTTATACCATGGTTTAGTCAAATACTGTGATATGATATGATTACATTAAAAATGACTACATTGGGCCAGCCCGTGGCTCACTCGGGAGAGTGTGGTGCTGATAACACCAAGGCCACGGGTTCGGATCCCATATAGGGATGGCTGGTTTGCTCACTGGCTGAGCGTGGTGCTGACAACACCAAGTCAAGGGTTAAGATCCCCTTACCAGTCATCTTTTTGGGAAAAAAAAAATGACTATAACACCAAGTCAAGGGTTAAGATCCCCTTACCAGTCATCTTTTTGAAAAAAAAAAAAAAAATGACTACTGACAACACCAAGTCAAGGGTTAAGATCCCCTTACCAGTCATCTTTTTGGGAAAAAAAAAATGACTATATTAAAAAAAGTATAAATAGAACAGTCCACTTTGTCTCGCCCCACTAAAATTAAGCACACTGAGAGCAAGGACTTTGTTGATTCACTGCTTTATTCCTAGCACTCAAAACGATGCTTAGCACGCAGCAGCCACCCAAAAACCTTCAAAATGAATGAATTTGAGTAATGCAAGTGAATACAGAACAGGTTTTAGCATGTCCACTTACTTTACTGAAATTCAACTGTCCAGACTAAGCAAAACAAAATAAAAGAAATCATGTAAATCACGCACACTGGTCTGCCCTAGAGTAAGAGTGGAGAGAAAACCTGAATCTGCTGTTCCCTCTGCAGATCTCAGGTCACTGTGGCTCTCACATGGTGAACAACACACTAGCCAGTGTGATTCTAATATTTAAAGGAGGATTTTTTTTTTTTTTTTTTTTTT